TATAAAGCCTTGTTTGCACATAAATCAAGATTGCAGGCAGGTGGAGATTTAAGCACCAGAAATGAAGGAACACTTTTGTTCAAATAATAAAAATTAACAAAAGTAATGAATCATTTTGCCACAATCTGTGAAAACAAGTTACMGTTTAAAATCTGTCTCCATTTCAATACCCATCAGTGTTACAAATCCAATGGTAAGAAGACCCATTTTACAGAAGTTTTCCATGTTGTGCTATTTCCTGTTCTGAGTTCCTTCTTTCTTGACTTGTATTTCAGTTCCWGTATTTCCTGATGCTTCTTCCAACTCCAAGACCCCTAAGCAGAATGGGCCAGGGCAGTTTCACAAGCTATTCCCATATTCCCTGTAAATAGAAATCCTCAGACTGGTCCCTCCAAAGCACACCAGGCTATCTCAGTCACCTTTCACCATGACTTTAACGCTGCTAAATCCCTCTTTGTACAGCCTTTTATGAAATATTTTCCTAGTTTGACTGATTTTCCAACGGTTTTCCTTAACTGACCTTCCTGGATTGTTAATCCTTTCCCCAACAGAAAGTGCTTCCTACAGAAACTCTCACCTTTTATTAGAGAATTCTTTTTCTATCAGCCTGAAGAGCATCAACAATCTTCACTTTAAAATTTCTCCAGCCTGAGYCATTTCCTCCCCTTTTATGAACAAGCAGTTAACAATACTTTTCGTGTGAAGGCTTTTTTCAGCTGTGCACTCTATTAACCTGAAGAATGAATCATACCTCATCACAGCATCATTAGATAAACAGCCATGCTGTTTAGAAATAGATAAAAATAAACTTCTGAAAGTGACCTATACAATACAGAGAGGTGAGTCTAAGTTAAAACCCTGGCAAAAGAGATATTTACATCCACCTACAGAATATTTTTCTTTTCTCATTAACATTTTCTGGATGCTAACCATACAAAACAATCTACCATGAATAKCAAAAGGATTTTCAGTTATCCTTCAGAGAACCAGCAGAAAATTCTGCACTTCCTTTGTAGAAGATGTAAACAAATAACATAGAAAAACAAGTACTTTTGACCTCAACATCCAAATTATATGTTAAATAGCCAGCACTTCTCAGCTATCTCTTATGCTTTTCTTTTACCTTGTAATTGTTGGCCTCTTAGCCATTAGAAGAAAGTTTTGCTGAGGCCTCTTGGTTCAATAACACAACTAAATCACTTGGCCCAGGCARTATTGACTATTAATGTGTAGCATTTTGCAGCATTGGGCAAGCAAATCAATTTAGAATCTAAAATTGTGCCCAAGATCAGTGCAATAGTGCATATGAGCACATAAAATCTCCAAGCCAGTTTGTTCTGTGGTCAAATAAAAGTGTTTTTACTTGTTGATATTGCCTGAATGGCCATTTTACTGAACCGTTGTTATAAATTAATTCTTTTGAAAAAACAAGGGCTCAGTGGCTGAAACAGTCCTTGTTAAGAGGAGCTGTCTACATTTAATATGACTTTCACCTACAATATTWCACGTTATTCATATTTAAGAAGCAAAATCTAGGCTTCACTGAGGCCTGAGAAAATTTACCTTCGTACTTCAGCACAGTAGGGATTTTAAGTCAGAAGCTGTCTATAAATTTCTGTATTATATCCAAAAAAATGAATTTACTCTGTAATCACCACTATTAAAATGTCAATATACCATTTGCTAAATATATAGAATGGTAGTCACTTGATCTGGCTTTAGCTATCTAAAAGACAGGTACCAAATACACTCTAGCTATCTGTGACTCCTCAGAGGACCAATGGTGAAAGTTCAGGCATGGTGTGAGATTCTCCCTGTGCTGAGTTAGGTGGCTAGAACATCTGGAATGAGCATCTGCAGGTACTATTTGTTCACCATTCTTTATGGAAGATGCTCAGAAAATATGGTTATGCCTGGTTGACTAATATCTGGGCATTTAGACTGAAGTGTGATTAATTTCACACAGAAACTGCATCTTGAAACAGCAAGGTTTCTTTTTTCCTCTTGCCATCTTGATTTCTATTGACCTGACTGTTCATAAACAAGCTGACTGCATTTATTCTTGTGCCAATATTGCCTTTTTTTGGAGCTGTTACTCGTCTTTCCAGGGCCTATCGCTAATCATATATTTACAAGCACAACCACCTTATTTCCGCTCAGACAATAATGGCTGTACTGCCACATTTACATCTCTCCTTGTGACCTTTCCCTTAGGATGAGCCTTTATCTGATTCTGTGYTATTAAGTATCACCTTTCTTTTCACCAGAATTTTGCAATCTTCCAGATGAGCTTCTACCAGACTCACAACAGTGTAGTAGTAAAGCTTTCTGGTTTTACCTTCCTATTTCCCAAGGATCTTTCTGCCTTCAACTTCTATTTCTCTCTTTATTGGAGTTCCAGTCATGATAAATCCTCCACTTTGTTTCTGCTACTATCATAATAATACTATTGATCTGCCACTGTTATAATAGTAGCAAATTAAAAATATGTCAGATTTGTCAGTTGTAGCAAATAACAGTTTTGCACACAGAGGTTTGGTTGCATTTTCTTTGGCGTTTTAAAAAAAGTTTTAAAATTATCTTTGTTATTTTTTATGTTTTCCTCACTTCGGCAGCAAAGATCAGTGGTATGAGCCTTTATGCAATGGAATTTGACAATTTTTTCTTCCCATTTATCAAACTTTTAGGAGAATGGGAAGAAAAACTATGGGAAAATGATTTKTCACTCTTCAAATTAAATGAGGGGCTGCCTGCTCACAAGCACTGCCAAACCTGRCACATAAGGAGGCATGGAAACATGGAAAAATGTATCCATCCTTGTTATGCAGACATTTGTATGAGGATGAATGACCTTAAAATTTTCTGTTTGATCCTTTTGGATAAGCCTCTAGAAAATGTGCCATCCTCATAGCCTGTCCTGCAGCAGATCTCCCCTGCATTTCCTGACCATGGCAGAAGCTGGAGAAGCTGCCTGAGAAATGTCTGGGCCTTGCTGCTGGAGCCAGTTCAGCCTCTCTTTCTGCAGGGCCAGGTTCCATCCCAGAGGAACCTATTTAAAGCTTCATAGGATAATTCTGCTGCCACAGAAGATGTGGAGTCAAGGGCCACCCTGTGCCTTTGCTGTTCCTGCCACRAGAAAAGTCAGGGAAGGATTAGAGGTGAAGAGCTTTGGGAGCTGGCTTGCTTCTCCTTCTGCTTATGGGGAAGAAGGAAAAAYGGGGACAGTGGAACACTTTTAGGGTGAGTTGTACCCACATACTCATCCCTCAGCATCCAAATGGTTTGCAGAGCTTTTGAATTCCAAAAATAGATAACAAGCTGTCAGGACTTAGGGCTTCTGTGTGCATGAGAACCAGCGTGAGTACAGGTCCATAAAAATATTTTCCTTTCCCTATACCAAGTAGCAGCTTTGTAGTTGATTGATCACTTTTTTKGTTTTTTATTTAATGTGACATRTTTCTTCTGGCAGAGTTAAATAGACATGAAAGCATTCATAACTKGATGGTAATTCAGCCTTGAAACTGGCTAATGGCTTATGCAGGCCTCAAGACTGTTGAGCGCTCTGTACTTGCTCCTACGAAATTTCTTCATCCTGAGAGATTTCCATGTAACACTAATATGGAGCACTGACTTCATAAGACTGGAAAGACAAATCATTCCTGTTTCATCCTCTCCATGGAAAGAAGCGGAAAAATATGAATTATTGATAGTGAATAAATCACTTTTTTTCTTCTCTTTTTCTTTTTGTGTATATAATTCAAAGGTTTATCCTAATTTCCTCAACTATTCTTGCATGTTAGAATTTGCAGCATAACTCAGGGCACTTTCTTAATAATAAACTCTTTTTGTCTAAATGTATGCAATGTGGTAATTCTTTGACTGAATTGTTAGAAGAGAAACAGTTCTGAACTAAATTTGAACCTGTTCTAGGTCCAACATTGTTCCTCATCTCTGCACTCTGCCACAACCTGCTGACATTACATCAGCAATGTTTGTTTTAATAAAAGTCTGTTTGACAGAAATCTAATAGGCAAAAAAAGCCCCAACATTTTAAACTCCAACTTTAACAAATGTTCAAGGAGTATGTGGATATAAACTGATGGACAAATTCAGACAGAGGACAAAATCACTAGAAGAAACTAAAAGGATGTGTTATTGATTGTATTAAGGAACAAATCTTCATTTGCTGATTTCTAATTGTGGGTTGAGTGTGCCACTGGCTGTAATTATTAATGCAGCACAGAGCTTTTCCACATCTTCCTCCATCTACAAATCTGGATGAATTTATTTCATCCTCTGTTTGGCCATCACTACTACTTGTATCAAGAAGATGACAGAAATATAGATTTAATTATCCTCTGCTGGTGGGAGATGTTCTCACTTTGTTAGCACCACCTTCACACCAGCCACAAGGAGGACTTTCCCCCAGTTCCATGAGGATTTGGAATCTATGCTTCCCCAGAGAGACACATATTTCTTGGCTGGGAACTACTGTTGGAGAGGACAGACAATATTAATAATTAAAAAAAAAAAAGAACCCCCAAACCCCCAAGCTGACATTAATGAGGTTGAATATACATATTGCTGCTATTAAAGGGAGCTTGTTCCAGGGTTATCCTAAAATAATCTCGCTCTCTGCTTCTGCTTCTTAATCAGATCTCCTAGTGCTGTTTTAATTAGAAAGCAATGCTATTAAGCCCAGAATAATGAAACCAAATAATTCAGTAATTGTAGAAGAGTGACAGGTTTATCTGCATTCCTTCTTTAACTTCTACTTCAAAAATATTCTCAACATTCAAGCTGCCATATTGCATTAATATTTTTACTTCTCCTTTCATTTCTTATGTACATCCTGAAAATGGGAATTTTCAAGAAAACAAAAAAATAAAGCAGACTTTTTGAAACATACACTTCTTGCAACTCTGATATTTAAAAACAAAAAAATGAGACTGGAAACAGAAAGGTAGAGAAATAGAAAGATAACAGAGAAACATTTTCAAGTACAACTGTCTGTTTTCCAAGTAAAATAAAAATGAAGGTGAAATAAAAAAATGCTAATGAAAACTTTTTCCATCCTGTCATGTAGCAATTAGCTGTAATTTTTTATATGTTTCAGTGATCTAAAAAGCTACAGCTTTTTTTTTTAGCTGTTCAATGACTAACATTATACAAAACACAAAACTTCCATTTGCTGCCTTTTAAAGGCTTGATTAGTAGCTATTCTATGGATTCATGTTTTTTAGTGATACTCCTCATTACTATCTGTCTGTATGTATTAACAAGAAATGAGGTGATATTCCTTAAAAGGAAACATCTCCATGATTTCAAATAACTATATAAGTTGGGACAGTTAGAGGAAGCAGACTTCTAAACTTTTAGCTATTATCCATTTTTAAATGGAAGTCCAAGAACAATAGCCTTGTTCTAGAGTATTATATAATAAATTGTATATCTGCCACTCTGATGATTTTTACAAAAGTAATGCAGCACCTGCTAAGAGAATTGTTCCCACACTGCTTGGAGGAAACAGCAAAGCATTGCCTGAACAATTCACCCAAGAAGAATGTTATTGAGCCATACATTTTAAAAGAACCAGACATTTTAAAACACACCTGTGCTGGCCTTGGGAAACAGCTCATGAGAAACTGCAGTTTTGCTAGCAGCTAAAGTGCTTTCTCCAAAGACATGATTTAATGGGAAGTCTGAGCTGTTCTCACAGGGGCTCGTGCTTCACTTGGGTTTGACTCTTTGGAAAGTGAAGATTCATGGTCTCRTACCTACCTCTGTGTAAATCAGCACTATCTCCTTTGAAGTCAGCAGATGWAAAAATCTGGGTGAATAAAGGAGGATCAAGGCCCCAGGCTGTCATCCCTGCCCTGCTGCTTTTACTCAGGTTAGGATTTCAAATATATAATTGCAATATTATTTTTCCTGTCATTTGGGAATGTGGGTTGAGGCTGAGCWGGAACAAAAGGATGAATAGGTGCAGGCTTGCTTTGCAGGGCTGCAGCATGGTGCCAAGGCAGGTAGTGGTGGCAGGTTTTCAACTGCTCTGTCGCTCCRAGTGATCTCCCTCAGCACTGCTCCATAACTCCCTCTTTGGCTACTCCATTCCTCTCTCAGGAGTGGCAGCAGGCATAGGAGCACTGTCCATCACACTGTAGTAGTAGACTTCATGATTTCCTAATACATTGCCATGCCTCTAAACCAGAACTGCTTCAATAGTTTTCAAGCTGGTTTTCAAGCCCACAGCTTTCCTATCTCACCCTTGTGATACATTTATGTCCCTCACCTTTAAATGGTACTATGATTTGTGCTAGAGTTCCTTACTCAGAGCAGGATGAATCCCACCTGGGAAGCTCACATACTTGGTGARTGGCTTAAGCACCAGTCCTAACACTGGAGGTGATTTTGCAAAGATTATGGCTGTAGCTGATGTGTTCAGGGACTTGCGAGAGGCACATGACATGGCAGGGCTTGCTAAAATAAGTAACCTGACGAATGATTGTGTTATTTACAGCCTCATTAACAGGGWCTGCACTTGAATCAGAAAGCCAATTAAAAAAATTAAAGAAACAGAATATTCCACTCAAAGAGTGGAGTTAATGCAAAAGCCTACCTCAGAAGAAAACACTTGCACCTGCACTATTCAACTCCCACATGAATGACAAATCAGTCTGTTCTGGCACAGAGGTTTGATTTACGTACACAGATGCCCTAAACCTCACAGTCCAAACCAAGAGTCTCAGCCACACTGAAAGCATTGTTAACATCATTGTGCTTTAGTATCCTAATTTTTTTATATGAAAATCAAGTACTAAATCAARGATTAAAATGCAAAGAGGGTTTCTTTTGTTTTAGAAAGCACAATAACTGCAAATAGCTCAGTATAATCTAGAACACACACCATCAGCACTTGGAAGTGAGCAGGACTTCCCTCAATGTGGAGAAGACAAAAGAAATATTGTGCTCATTTCTATATGGGCAACCAACTCAGCAACACAGGAAAATACTGCAATGTTAATCCCTATATCTCAAGGCAAACTTCCACTATTAGAAGGATCAGTATGTGAAAATACATCAGAGATGGTGTTAGAGGAAAGCTCCCAACACATCACTGCATAAGCACCTTTTTGTTTGTCACCAGCCTCCCAAAGATGCCCCACTGAATGTCCTCAGGCCAGGTGTGCCCTGGCCAGTTACTGAGCTACTGRCGTGTACTTCCTGTGTGGGTCCAGCACTTCTTCACTCCAAAGAACAAATTAAAACAGCATTTCCAACTAAAATGGATAACTTTGGTTTTGGTGACACAGATGGGAGCCACTAGCAATCCTCACTTTGTTTTGGTGCATGGGCTTATCTGAAAACTGTGCTGCTGCAATTAAAAGCAGAATCTGGTAACTACTAGACATCTGCTTTATGAGAATACTTAAAAAAGAAATTATCATACTGTGTTGGATATTAATATTTTAATGGAATCTCCCACAGTCCTTCATGGTGGYATAAATGCTGGCCATCTCAAAATGAACTGGTTAATGAGCTGACATTATAATTTGTGCTCTCAACAGTGTCCTGTTGCGTTTTTTAACATGTAAAGAATATAGTGTTTGCAATTAAGACACAGAACAAAAACAGATGATGCTCACTGCTGTTTAGTGGCCTAAACAGCACCATGTTCATGTTTTCACCTGTACTTGTAGATTTCCTGCTTTTCACAGTGTGACCTGAGTGATTTTTATGCTTCCTACTCTTTGGCCTCTGCTCATTGGGAGTCTCTTTGCTGAGCAATTGAAAAATGGGATACTCAAAACTGACAGAAATAAACTAATGGCAGAAAATGCAGCAACTTTATTGCTCTCTGAAAGCCAACAATGGGAAAATACAGTAGACTGGAGACAGTCTACTRAATAATTTATGACATAGAGCTGATTCCAGAATGATTTTTTTCYCTATTAGATGTGCATTAACACATGAAAGTCAAACACATGGAAAATCTTTTCTGGTCTTAGAGCAAAACAGTCCCCCACCCTTCCATTACCTCAAGCTTAAGACTACTCTGAGCTGTTACTATCTTCTAAAGAGATTGTGCTATTGTTTGCTCTACTTCTGCTGAATCCCAAATTGGGTTTTAAATACACTGTTGAAGCAATCACTATACCAACACAGACTTTATCTACCACATTCATTGCTTGCATCTCAGCAGATTATTCCTCAAAAATCTGTGTTTGTTCAACACACCATTATACAATGCTACCTCATTCCTAGTCACAATAGTTTAAAAAAAAAGAAAAAAAAGGGAAAAATAATCTTCTAAGACTGCATGCTACATTAAAGTACCATGTTTTATTTTTATACAAGGATTACTTGTTCCCCCAGATTTCAATTRATTACTATGGACCATGCAAAATGCCACAGACCAGAGAAGCTACATTTTCAAATGGAAGTTTTTATTGATTAATCAGGCATTGAATCAAGTATTGTAAAATAAACAGATTTTTTTTTGTTAAAAAATGTCCAGAAGAACACCATTCATAGCAGACTTGTTTCCTCATTGTCATACAGAAYAGGAAATTGTTCAAGAAACAAGCAAAAAAGGAGCACCTGACTAATTGTTGTCACCTTGTATGTRTATACACATATGTATGTATATACACAAATTACACACTGTATTTGTGTATTTGTGCACATTCTGGTGTGTGTATGCCCATACATATGTGTACATATGTACCCAAACACGTATGCACAAAGAGCACTGAGTTAATAGGGCACTGGAGAAATGTGGCTTAGCTCCAAATGAAGTATTCTGTGTAAAAATAAAGATGATACAGCAAGGTCTGTAGATAACAGACCATCCTTTTTCCATTGGCCAAAACCATGATCTGTCTTTAGACTCATGCTCTATCTTTACAATGAAAATAAGTGAAATCATTTGGGACCTCTACAAATTCATGGTATTAGTTCCTTCCAGCTCAATCTCTGCCAACATTGTATAACCAAACACTGAGCAGTGTTTTTAGTTTATCCACTACTGAAATCAGCTTCTAGATTTAATATTTCTGGCAAAAGAGAAGATACACAGCCTTGCTACATGTACTTTGGTAACTGACTCTTTCCTTTTAGGCAGAATCTTGGCAACAATACTAGATTAAAAGTCCTTTCTTCACGCATTCTTTTATCACTGCTTTGCATACGTCATCTTCAGTCAACTCATTTTCAAAATGTTCATACCATCTCAGCTACTTCCCTAATATCCCAGGSCAGATCATCTGGGCATTGTATATCAGATTTTATCAGTAGCATTGTACTCAATTTTAAAATGTAATGCTTGGGGACTTATTTCCTTTTTAATTTTTGAGGGTACAAATTTCTTGATTATTAAAGACACTATGATAAACACTGAGGTTCACTACATGTCCACACTTTGCCTTTTTATGACTACTTGGGGAAGGTCAGTGGCTCCTACCTGTGAACTATRGGATGTTGCTCACCTGAAAGCCATGGTACCAGCAATGTACCGTCAGATTTTTCTCAATTTAATTCAGCACTTAGCAGGGCTTGTAAAGGGAAATCAAAGAAACATGGAAAGTTATTTATTTTCTGTTTTTTAAAAAAAGAAAAAAACCCAAATGGGCATGTACATACTCTCCTCATCTTGTTCACAACTTTTTGATATAATCATAAGGCAAACTGTAGTACAGCTTTGTACCTGGATAATCAGTATTTTAAAAATCTGAAGCTGAGCTTGGGACCATTTTATTTTGGGCCCATTAGTGAACAAAGTGCATTAAGGCATCTTTTTCAAAAGACACCTAAAGCATGGTCATAAATTACTGAGCAAATCTTTAAAGCTGATATTCAATTTATCCTTTCTCTACACAGGCAGATTTTCACCACTTGCATAGTAACAACAAAACACTAAGAAAACCATTCCTTTAAAGTTGTCATATGCCTCTAGTATCTCCCAAAATGATCATTTATACATAAGMATTGCAATAATTACAAAAAGCTTCTATCTGTAAAGAGAAAAAAATGCACCTGGTTCAGCTCTGAGATAAATTACATACAACCTCTATTGCCTGCACTGAAGTTCTTCAGTTCATACCAACATCAGTATGAACATTGGGTCTCCCCRTGCAGATTTCTGCTGCTGAGAGCTTGCTCTTTAGCCCTGATTCACAAAGTGGACTGTGCTTTCCAAAACAACCTGGGACAATGGTAACTGTAAGCAAACTCCAGCTGCAGTGTTTCTCCGTACAGCACGTGTAAAACAGATTTCCTTGCTTTGTTATAGACACCACACAGTGTATGACAATGAAACATTTGTGTTTAATTTAAAACCAATGGTGAAGTGGCGCATGTCTCACTTCCGAGCTGTTGGCTGGGCTCGCTGTGTTGAACCTTGGAAAATCAGCAATGAGCATTCACATGTCTACCATCAGAACTGTGACATCTTCTATTATAATCAATCCTTAAATGATGCTGAGCTTTATCAAATTAGTCTACAGTCAGACCTTGGATTGGCTGTTCTCCTCCAGTGTTGCTGATTCTCAGAGATGGTATCAGTCTTCCACATCCTCAGTGATTCTGTAACATTTCCCAAAGACGAAAACGAAGCACTGGTAGATGGGAATATTGCCATCAATAAAATAAATCACCAGATCATTTATCCACTCACATTTCTAGGAGATATTCCACATGTTTTTTATGAACTGAGAGAGCACTGCCCTGTGAACAGAAGTAAATTTAACTTTTTATTTTTGCTGTGTTGGAGAGCTCCACTTCCTCTCTTGCTTATTTTTGCTCTTTTGGTCTTCACACCCCTACGTGCAAAGTAGAAATTGGGAGATCTCRCACTCGACAAGGCTGGTAATGAGACCACTAATGTTGGCACAAATAAAACCTGCAGTATACTGACTTGTCCACTGTGCAGTTTTCATCCTTCCAATGTAYTATTTTTATCCACTGCAAAATAAAATTTTGCAAAAGGCTGATGAAACTTCAATTAACAGGACAACCGATGTGCAAAAAAAACCAAAACAAAAACCCAAAAACCAAAAATTGATTTCCCAGGTGTCCAAACTAGGCTTTCACTTTCTTTTTTTTTTTTTCCAATTTTATAAATAATTTATAAATTCTCCTGTAAGAGATGAAATACAAAACCAAGCAAACAAAACCAGCTGAAAAAGGAAGTCCTAAGAATATTATTAAAGCCACTTCTTGTCCTTCAGTACAAAATACACAGAAAGAGAGGTTCTCTCCTTGCCAGTTTTGCCCAGATTTGGCAGTTCTGTCTGGGATGCCGCCTGGCCGCCCTGGGAAGATGTGTCGCCCTACCTTTGGCTTTGGGCGGTCACGCCAGCTGCTCAGAGGAGTCTAGGTGGTCAGGGATAGGCAAGCCAGTTATAATGGTCAAACATTTGTTCCACACCGTGAACGTGGGGCACACCGGCTGGCCAAACGTAATGTCAAAAGTGTAAAGGTGTAGGGAGTTCAAAGCGTCATAAAAGGCAAGGGAACCATTGTCGTAGTCCAGCAAAATYCCGACGCGCCGGAGGTGGGGCGCGGGCTCGATGGGGATCTCTTTGCTGTTGTGTCGCACCACCCACGAGTTATTGCAGCGGCAAAGCACCCAGGAGGCAGAATTCTTCCCAATCCATTCGTGCTTCGGTGCTGACTTGTAGGAAATACCAATAGCATACCTGCAAAACAAAAGAACATCTCAAGGGAACGAATGYTTCCTTGCCATTTTGTCTCTCAGTGAAGTCAAATGTTAGCCCAGAGGAGTCCCTGGAACGTCCCAGCCTCTTACTGCTGTAGGTTAAGCTCTAATTTAATGATGTTTCACCACAACATCTGCACAGGCTTAATTAATGTTTTTCCCTGTCTCTCTTTTGGGTTTGAAAGGTCAGGGAAACTCAGCATATTGCTTCTAGTTTGGCAACTGTGGCAGTTTTTTTGAGGGCTTGCCTCTGGTATTGAAAAGGAAAATTGTTGAGTACTCAGCAACTCAGAGTTTAAATCACARGACCTCAAATTTCCATTTCCAACAGAGGAATACAGAGGAATTCATTGATTTTAAAATACACTGCTATCTGTCAGTTCATCTGATCTCTTCTTACTCCTTTAATACATGGCCCAGAAGAAGGAATGTGAGAGTAAACATCAAAGGACACATTAAACATCCCCCATTTTGCCATTTTCAAATATGTTTTGCCAGATGTTGGTGTGGTTTTCAGATTCAAATGAGCATTTTTTGAGACTGGGTTTCAGGCCAAGTGAAGCAATTGTAGGTGAAGACATTTGCTCTGCAGACCATAATTTATGACAAGATGTGCAGGGCAAAAGGATTGCAAAAATCCAATTAATGGCCACTGAGCAAAGATACCTGTTTCATCATATATAACAAAAATATATAAGTTCCTCACATTCTAGAGAAACTGAAGTATTTGTTGGGTTTTCAAGCAACAGAGATGAATGCACCRTAAGTTTTTTCTCCCCATTCTGTAGCCCTGGCACAGGCAAACATGATGTCTTTGAATACCAAATGATAACATCTCTTCCACTGACTAAAGGCTCTCTGAAACACACCCCTAGGTGACACAGAGGATCATTCACAATGGAGAAAGCCATCCTCTATTTCCTGGCCCTTGCTTCATGGCCTGGGGCACAGACCTACACCTCTGCTGCTTTGTGTCCCCTCCCCAGAAACAAATCTGACCTCTGCCCCTGTTAAACTGGATCATCAAGTTGCCCTCATTTTTATTTATTTTTTCATAGTGAAGGACAGAATATCTTTCACGTTTAGTACAGAAATGATCACATTAAACAAGTTCTCTCCTGTATAAGCAAGATTGAACTTTTTGTTCCCTCCAATTAAAAAAAATCTTAAAATGTACTCTATGTGGGTTCAAAAAAACAAGCAACCCCAGCTGTGGAGTAAAAATCCTGTGARGGCTGCTAAATATAAAGATGCATAATCTGACTGATTTATTTCCAGAGTCCAAAAGTGCTGGAGATTGGGAAACTCATCTGACAAACTACTTGAAAATACATGCTTGGCCTGCTCTTGCACTGTTCCTGATGTCTTTGCTACTGCTCTCCATCAGAGAAATGGTGCCAGCACCTGCGTGGTGTGAACTAGAGATCCTTTTCACACCTATTTTTATATACATACCACGTRCTCCCGCTTATAACCACTTCCCAGTAATGCCGCCCGCTGTCGATGAACACGTTGCCAGCGACTCCGTAGCTCCCTTGGCTCGTGAATCGCTCTGGTGTGTGGCTCTTTTTGGATGACGTTTCATCCCGCTCCACTGTCAAGTTATCGTGAGACACTTTCAATTTTCTATGAGCAGATTTGGGGTCCAGTTTAAATGGCTGACCTAGAGATGCAKAGACAATGGTGACAGAAGAATGGTTTGGCTTTGGTTCTGAAAAGGAGAGTGGATTAGCCAGCCTCTAAGAAGCCCACAAAATTACATAACCATATTAATTTCCTCCTCTCAAGTGTTCTTGAGATAGACCAACCTATTCTGCTCCCTGCAAGAGCTAGTTTGCATTGCATTGTCAGTTTACTGTCAGCTWCATTGTGCACTAACTTCCCCGTGCCGATAATCCCTGAAAAGAGCCCTGCATAATCATCGTGTCCATTATCTYTGACCTAGAGGTAACCAGAATACTCTAATTCTTGCATGTAATTGAAACCAATATACATGCTAATAAAGGTCTGAGGGTTGCTTTTTTCACAGCATATTAGATTTAGAATAAATTGTGTTCTATTAATTCTCTAGGGATAGAGCTCCATARTAACATCTTCATCATTCTTACAAAAAGTATGATTTCAAATCCCACAAAATGAGCTTGAAAATAAGAAGAAACATTATCCTTGTCTCTTTGTTCACTGACAGCTTTATTTGTAACAAGCACGGTCAACAATTCAGGATTGCTTTGGAAGGATGCCCATGTGGTGCTGGATACTGTGCATTAAAAAGAAGGAAGTGAGCTGTAACTTGGTCCAAATAATATGGTGCAATAACATTACTGAGGCTGTTGCTCTTGGCAAGCATCTTGGGCTCTAGCACAAGGTTTGTAGACAATAACAGGAAGCCTTTTGGTAAACCAAACCTTGTAGATATATAGAGCCCACCACAATTCTGACAGGCTTGCTCATTGTGTCAGAAGGCATTTACTTCCACCAAGAGACAACTCCACAAGTGGTCCAGAAAAGCACTTTTCCCTTCTTACTGTCTTGTATATCAAAGGGAAAAACATGTAATCAGATTTGATGACATGCACAGAAAAAGAAAATGAGATCTCTCATGAAGTCTGTGTGAGACACTGGCACATGGACCTAAAAATAAGATGTAAATTTTTCAGGGTTATCTACTTCTGCTAYGTGCATTTATTTATATATTATAACTAAATGTAAAAATAATCCCATTGGAAAGTATWTGGGGACTATTTCTGAGTGCCTGGCAGCAGTAGCAAAACCTCMTGCCTGCCTCTCCAACTGCTTGGCAGCCTTTGTGTGCTGAAACAGCATCTGAAGGATGTCTCTCTGCACTAAATYGTGTCTGATCACATCACAAGGTTAACAGCACACAGGAGGAAATCAGAAAGGTGTCCACTCCATTCTCTTCAGACTCCTTCTTGTTACATTCACTATCACCCCTGCTCAAGCACCCTCCCCTACAATGAGCAGCTTTTAGAGGATGCACAAATCCCAGTGTTTCCTTTCCAGCCCTCAGAGCTGCCCATGATGACCACATGACTGAGAGATTAGCTGAGGCAAGAGGGAAAACCAGCTAAAAACTAGTCTTAAAATTGCTATTCTACATCTGCTAATAATTTGAGTAACCATTGTTTTTTGAAGTGGGATCTCTGACTATCACCTTGCTGAACTCCATAAAAAAAATGAGGGGGCTGAAACTAAGAAGTTTTCCAATGTCCTAAAAAAGGAGATAATTTCGGAGGATAAAATTGGACTAGCAATTATCTTACGAACACTACACAAAAAGAAAATGTTTTACTGCAAACATAAAAAAGTTTGCTTTGTAGAGGAAAAAGAGTACAAAACCACAAAAGAGTATTTGCAGCCATTTCACATGTGATAGCTTGGTTCCTATGTGACATTTCCAGTGACCAAACTACAGATGCATCTTTCAAAAAAAACCCCAGCATATTTTCTACACGGCTGAGGATTCAGACAATCTTGAATTACGCTAAATAASTGACTCTCATTTTGGAAAGCACATTAAAAAAAGTTAAACTCCTCTGTCCTCTATCCACCAAAGACCAGACCTAAAAAGGAAGGCCAGAAAGGAGAAGACTTGGTGCATCCTGGGTCTCGTGTTACTCACTGTTTGTCTTGAGCTTGCCAGGCTCGCTGCTCCTGCTGCCAGCCTGATTGATGGCCTTAACGATGAAGATGTACTTGGTGCCACTCTGTAAGCCGTGCACCGTGTAGTGGTTTTGTTTGATATTAGGAACAATCATCCAGCTGTCGGCTGAGTTGCATAAACCTGCAATTTCCAGCAGAGCACATCAGTCACAACATGCTAAACACTTTGAAACAGAGGGACATTTAGAGCATTCCCAGGCACCCAACCACCAATATGAACTTTGCTTCTGCACCTTTTAAAGTGTTGTTACATTTGCTGAACCGCTACTTAAAGCCACTAACTCATTCTGTGTTAACCCAAGCCACAGCCAAGGTGCCTTTTAAGTTCTTGCTATGTGAAGTGAACCATAAAAAGTGGGCATTTAAGAAATGTCTCAGTGGAGACACTGAGATTTCTCATATCCCAGCACAAGGCATTCTTTATTGCTTAAGAACTGGAGGATTATGGAGATCCCATCAATCTACTGTTTGGATTAATGAACTCAGTTTAAACCTCAGAAAACGAACGTAAGCAGCAAAGCCAGGAGGGCTGGGAGGCACCTCTGCTGACAGTCCCCAGGTATGCATTCTTCAGAACCTGAAGCAAATCATGGGAGGCCAAACAGGGTAGAGCATGGGCTTCTTTGGCTCTTGCACTTCAGACTTTGCCAGAAAGTAATCTAAGCCAGTAAATTTAATGGATGCAACTTTTTGATTTATGTCCTTATGATGAGATGCCAGCTGGGAAAGAGCTGGAAAATTTTCCATTTATAAACCTTTTTGGTTTATATTTCGTTTATATTTGATGCCTACCACAGATGAATAATATGAATTAAGTAAAATAAGGGAGTGCCAATATAATAATCAAAACAGGAAAATACTCTCTTCAAATGAATTTATTAAGCTACATAAATTTTTCCTACTGCAATGGCAGTCAATCATCTATCCTACTCACTGTATATTTGGAATAGCTCCTGGTCTAATGGATTCCCCAGTCTCTTATTGTAGATGTTTACAGAAAAAAAAATAACGCTCATTAAGAGTATATCTTTTCACAACCTTTTATATGGTTATACAGCTAGAAAAAGATGGAAGTGTATGCAGGTGTGTACACATGTAAGGCTGGAAAACTTAATTGAAAAAGGCTTGAGTGTATTAGGAACCTGACAGACTTCAGGTTTTAACTAAAGATCTACCAGCAAACCCCTCATGAAGAGAATCTTTTAGAACTCAGTAGTTATTTCAGCTCTGCAAATCAGACAGTATGAAACCTTCATGTAAAATAAAATTTTACAGGCTACTGATCAAATCTTGATCAGGCTACTGATTACAAAACTTGACAGAAATCGATCTGATACAGGGTTGCAGACTCATAGCCAACTCATGGCCATACTATGAGATTCCTTCCTGATTTGATATGTGCTTTTTGTAACAAAAGATCATTAGAAACCAAATTCAAATTYCAAATTTCAATCTGAAAATTACGAAGTTTGTGTCTCAAATTTTTCTTGCATTCCTTTGCATTACAAAGTATTCTTGAGAGGCAGCAGAACAGAGATTTATTCTGCTGTGCAAAGAGGTAATTGTGGCACAGTTTTAGTTTGTATTCATATTATCTTGTCACCTAATGAAGAGCTACAATCTCTAAACTATTTTTCTGGACTCTGAAGAGAGGGGGAAATCAGTAACTACCTCTTTTCACTTCTCCAGGTGTCAACTCCCTACCAGCCACAAGTGCCTCTCTTTTCTTGTCCACAGAGGAAGCCTAGATGAGATCTCTAACTTCAGGTATCTGAAATGATGTGAGACAAGTCACTTGCCTATAGATGGTTATATATATGTACACACACATAGATGAATGTATAGAATAATTCTSTGCCCTTCTCATGAAGAAAAAGAACTTGCATTGTAACCCTAGYTGGGTCCAGCATTTGTTGCTTAACGCAACATCTGTCAATGTCTTCTTCACTGAGCCATACACACTGAATTATATTTATTTTCTTAGTCTGTCAATGGGTTTCCYATGAAGAAGAAAGGAAATAAAAGAAGCAGCTTCCTGAAATAAAATATTTCACTGAGTACTCAGAGGAAATCTCATCTTTTCACAATTTGCCACAGATATTAAAGGCACAATTCTTCTGCAGCTGAACCACCACAGTTGCATTGACACCATCCCTTACTGGACTCATTGGTGCTATTGCAAAATAAGTTCAAGTGTGTTAAAATAAAACAAAATGAAGCACTGGATTTAAAGGGAATTCAGTAAGATCAAGGAATCCTTAGCTAAGATGCCTCTAATGGGATGACATACAACAATCAGTGGGATGGATACAGTGGTCCTAGAAGTGTCTCCTCTGACCACAACCACATTTTGGATGCAAAGTTCTGTGATATATAAACCATACATAAACTGACCACTATGCCAGCACAGAAATGCCYAGAGTTCTGCGAACTTGTCTAGAAACTAGGTTTGTATTATTCACTACAACTCTCTAATGGTACATTTTTCAGATTTGCATTAGACTTTTTATGACACCCTCCAGAGGCTGATGGCTCCTTAACAAAGTATAAAACTTCGATCCCCATGAAGGACAGCAAAGGTACTGTTGCATTGCTGAATTCCCTCTTGAGTTCRTCCCCTCCTCCCGGGTATGTGGATTTGTACACACCCAACAATCACTAAGGACCTCACCTACCCCAAACTCTCTGCACAGTCAACAGAGAGAGTCAGAAACCTCCTGTTTGACCTGACCCGTGYTTCAGGGGAAAGCTCTATCCTCTCTGGTGACAGAATACATCTTAGGTTTCTTTTCTTTGTCCTTCCAGTCTCAGGCATCCCAGACTACTGATGTGCAATAAATGGATGCACAGTGACTGTGCTCAACAAACCTTGCTGTCTCAACAAGCTCTTGCCTATGCATCARGGGGCTCAGAGACATGTTCTTGTGCTTTCTTACTGTACGTTCTTTGATAACAAACTTTAAATTGTACTTTGATTCAAAAATCCTGGGAATGAAGTACTGATGATGCCAAASTACAAGTCCAAACGCCTTCAAAAGRGAGAATAGTTACTAGTGGCAGCCAAGTTAAGTCTTTAAGTATGAAAGAATAATTTGTCAATGCATCAAAGGTATTTGTCTCCAGTTATGCCTTGTCAGGACAGCCTTTCTTCTCTGAATACAAAAGAATATGATTAAGGAAGTTCAAGGAAATGAGCAAGTAGCCTGGTCACGCTGGCATCCGGGGTAGTGTTTGCCCTCTCTGTTCCCTGGCGTGGCAGCAGGTGAAGTGGAAAAACTCACATCTCCTCACTGGGGCAGCAGCGGGAGCCAAGGGTCTCCTATTGTACCCTCTCCTAATCCAGGCTATGTTCAGGTTTCTTGTTTCAAAAATCCAGGGCTTTTTACAGGGTTATGCAGATGGTAAAACAATGTATTTTAAAACTGTAGCCTACAAAAATGTAGAGAATTTAAATTACATCCTGGAATGGTGCAGTGAGCACAGTGATGTCCGTACAGGATGTGTGAGTTTTCAAAACAAGTTTCTCAGAGTCTGGAGGCAATAATTTGTAAAGCTATTTCCCTGSTGTTGGCTGTTGATGCATTTTAAAAAACAGATGGGAAAAATCCCAAGGTGTAAATCCTCCTAAAATTTACACTAGTAGATTTTATTAAAATATATTTTCTTGAAAACTGTAAAAGGAGCACAAAAGTCATAGGAAGGTTATTTAATCTCTTAAGCATCTCAATTATTGTAAAATGCTTTATTTAAATAAATTATTACCAATTCAAATTGGTTGAGGAAATAAGGTAGGTGAAATTAACAGATAGCTCTCCACCCCCACTCTTCATTCCAATCTCCAAAAAAAAAAAAAGGCTGGATTTCTGCAAAACACATTGAATTTTTTTTTTAAGAAATACACTCCTTTTATACTTTTAAAGAGGCAGAAATTTTCCTGGTTTCATCCCAAATTTGCTCTTGTGCCATCAAAATTCTCACTAAAATCTTCAGTAGAAATCTGAAGACTGTAATGAATCTGTTTTTAATAAAATAAAATTTCCATAAAGAGACAAAGGCTAGAATATTAAAAAATGAATTGGTGAATGATAAATTCACTGTTTTTTGTGGAAGCTTGGGCTCCTAATTGTCTTACATCCTTTGACAAAATTTTAGCCTCTCTCATAGGAAGAGAAGTCCTGTAACAGTGAAAATGTTCTGACAGTAGTACACTGTATCCTTTCCTTTTTAGAAATTGGACTGTATAACCATGATTCCTTTTACCAGATAAGAGAGAATTATTGTTATTATCTTGCTTTTTGTCAAGAAGGGAGAGGTGCGTTTTTCCTGAAGAATCTTGTATCACAGCTAGAAAATTTGAACCTCCTGAAACGCACTGTAACAAACCCATGATGTTAAAAAAGGCACACTCAATGAATACTTGAAAATCTATTGAAATGGGATAATGAAATTATAATGCATGTTAGTTAGCTAGTGACAAAGTAATTTTAAAAGCTTTTACCATATTCAGATTGGAGGTGATTAGCTGCCTCTCAGAAATGCAAATGTGCAAGTGGTGTAACTCTGAGAACAACTGCTTTAGTAAAAGCCTACTTAATSTGAAGTCCCGTATTGCTCTTATGCACAGAACAGGTCTGCCAAGCATTCAATAGCCAAGAAGTTTGGCCACATTTGGAAATAATCTTTCCTGTATAAAATAGGATTCAAATGAAATACTCTATTTGGACGTTGGCCATCAAATGTTAACTTTCCAATTTTTCAGTTAATAAAAAAGAATATAGTTGATTATGTTGGATAGAAAATATACTAGAAAAACATAGTATTGCTTGTTTTYGTTACTGAATTCTTAGCAATCTCTGGATGATATATGCCTCTGGTGGGGGAAATGTACTGTGAGTGGAAAGTGCAGTCAGGCTGGCTCTGTGGTTTAAGAAACAGATTCCAAAATAACAGCCTCCATTAGCACGGTAGGTGGGTACGTATGCAAAGTGATTCCCGTTGTCTCGGGGGATAAAGCTTGTTGGTTTAATGCAGTTCTCGAGCTGCTCCCTGGTGACTAATTCATAGCTACAAAAACACAGAACTGAAGTCAATCTATAAGCSTGTTTATCTGCTACAGGCATCGCACAATACCAACAAAAACTTTTGGAATATGACGGAGAAATTAAAATATTTTTACATGCAGCAGCATGCRAATGCCATAAATAGGAAGAAATTTGTGCTAACCTGAAGCCTATTTTGCTAAAACAGGATTAAAAAAAAAMAAACAACAAACCATATGAAGACTGCAGTGCAGCACCTGCTAATGCCACTTAGAGTGACAGTATTTCTGTGTTCAGCTTCACTACTAAGGTACACTGTGATATTCTAAGAACAGCCTTGGAAAGCCATTTGTAAGAGGTGGGATGTTAGAATTTTCAACAGGATCAAGCATATAATGTAAAYAAAGTGAATAAACATGCAAGCAGTGTTCTGAGAAAAATGAGGATGGGATCGACAGGACAAGAAGAAATGGTCTCRAGTTGTGCCAGGGAAGGTTCMGATTGGATATTAGGAAAAAAGTCTTGATGGAAAGGCTGKGAAAGCATTGGAACAGACTGTCCAGGGAAGTGGTGGTGTCACCATTCCTGGAGGTATTCAAAAGACATGTGGATGTGACGTTTAGGGCCATGTTTTAGTGGTGGACTTGGCAATGTTAAGTTAATGGATGGACTCTGCTCTTAGAGGTATTTTCCAAMCTGTGATCCTATGATTCTATTATGGTAGTGGGCAAATCTCTAATACCAGTGTGATTTGGAATGAATGGGAAAATCTCACATTTTGGAAACCCAGGAAGATTTGCAGCATGTTGGCAGTAAGATCACCATTGGAGGTTTCAAGTCTATGTTAAATAATGAGATWAAAAAAAAAACAACTTTACAACATTTAGAAAGACCTTTCACATGTACTTATATGTGCATGTATTTAATTTGGGTTAACATTATAGCTTTCAATCAAGCCAGGATATATGCATAAGAACTAACTATTAAAAAAAAACAAAACAAAACAAAACAAAAACCAACCAACCAACCAAAAAAAAAATAAAAACCCAAAACAAAACAAACAAGTAAACAAGTAACAAAGCAACACAAGCAAAAACAAGCAAAAAAACCAAAAAAGGGCTATTCTTTAATTTCTTTCGATTTTCATTGAAGGWCTTTAGAGCATTTTGTAAATAAAGTTTCTTACAGTGTTAAATTTGTTTTCTCTTCAAACTTTTAATTACACTATCTTTGCAAAGTGATAAAATGAAAGATTGCATACTGAGCACTTCACACAATGCTTGAAAATTATATTGCATCCCTGAAAGCAGACTTATTGATATATGTTGTGCAGATCAAAGCTTTCAGCCCCACATGGGAAACCCACAGTACCGCCTAAAATAGAAATACCTTGTTATTTATTCTCTAGTAAGCAAGGAGTAAAATCCCACATCTCAAGGGCGTGGCAATGCAGCACCTTTTTTTGCTGCCATGCTCACACATAGTGCCAAAAATGGACTTGCATAGCATAAAGTMATTGATAAAAATGAACTAGAAAACAAGYGACACACTGTCTTATCATTAAGTCMTCTCTGCTTAGTAGCAATTAATCAGAGAAGCTTTTCCTTCCTTATCTACCTTCCTTCAATTTGTTCAAATTTACTATTACTTTGTTATTATCCACCTTGTTTAGATGTAGGAACATATATTGAAGTTTATTTGTCTTTCCAGCAGTCTTTAATTTTGCAGTGTGTTCTTCAAAATCAGGCTGTTGGGGAACTASTAAATGGAGGTTTTGACAAGACACTCAGCAAATTTTCAATAATCCATCTTCTTTTTTCAGTCAGTCTTGAGCACTACAATACATTCACAGTACTCTACTTAAAAAAGTACTAAGATGCCAGCACAGGAATCCTCAGATATCCTTTCAGATGGCTTGGAAAACAAACTCCTGCTTAGTGATGGAGAAGATGAGGTTCACAAAGTAACAGAAGAGTCAGTGGGAGAGTCTGGCTCAATATTCAAAAGGCATAAAGCACACCATTTTTCCACTGGCATAAAGTATGTAAACATGCCCACAGCACTGACTTTCATCAAAGTATCTCAATGAATTTTCTTCTTACAAACAAACTTTGCAAGAAGAAAAACACTTCTGCCTTGTCTCACAAATACTTATGTAGCTCAGTGCATGGCCAGAGTATTTGATGCTGGACARATTTGAGGATGTACGAAGGTTTCAAGGAACAGGGAAAGCACACACTGATCATTTCTCACCATGCTCTCYCAGGCTTCAACAGCTTTTAGCTCTGGGACTTCCTGAGCCAGGAGGAAGTCCCTGCACTTCATTGTTCTCAATGTATTTTTCTTGCACGGTCTGTCCAGCCACCTCTTGAACTCAAAAATACACCARCCATCTGTGGCAATGAGTTCCCAATCTAAATATATGCTGATTTGAACAAACTCCACATTTTGACTGATTTGGTTCACTTCAGAATCCTTGTTTTATGAAAGAAGTATATGTCAGCTAGTGGTAYTCCCATTAAATATATGGGGAACAGGTAGAAGCTGAATGACTTCTCCAAATTCATAGTCTGTKATCCCAATGATTGCAGAACGCTGAACCCAGAAGCATTGACTTCCTGACCAAAGATTAGACAATGCTTTATTTTTTGTGAGGAGTAGCTATTTAACAATAAAGCAATCCATCTCCAATAAGTAAATTTGGTCATTAAAGAAAGTGACARATTCAAAACACAGAGAGTACTCATAAAAATAGTGCTGTAATATAAAATACACAACCATGTTTCTTAATCTCATTTTAAGTAAAACAAAGTTATTATATAAATTGCTGTTCACTTATGTTTTCTGATATARCCTATAGTTCACTGAGACCTATGCTTCATAGCCTTGAAGACAATAAAAATCAGATGGAAGAATTTAAATCTGTATTTCTGACAAAGGTCCAGATCTCAAGTTTATATAAATGACAATGGGGCTGCAGTTCTGACTAACGACCAGCTCAACACAGGCTCCCATGTGCAAACTGCCTGACTAGTGCAGACAATGGAGCTGAGGGCTTTGAACTTGTTATGTCTGCAAAAAGGGATGTGGGACACAAGAGACAAGTTAATATGGACAATACTTTTGCTGGGTTTAGCCTGAAAGCTAAACACTCCTAGAAAAGATACAAGAAATTTCAACTGACTTGATTCTGAATTATAAAACCTTTAAAAATAATTACTGGTTTGGGTGGAAAATCTTGGCTTTAAATCTTTCTAGAAAGTATTTTTCCTTTTGTTCTTGACATAGAAGTAAATTTATCTTTAAAGACTCTTGGTTTACATAGAGCCATAAGGAAACAGAACAAGAGAAGAGATTTATACTCACTAACAACGTTGGCTTGTCCAGTGAAGATGGTGTACTGYAGCTCGTAAGAGACCACACTGAACTCATCATCTGATGTCCAGTGCACAGTAATGGTATCATAAGAAGCTGTACAGAGCTCTTCTCGAATGGTGGGTGGGTTGGGAGCTGTGAGATACAACACAGGAGACACAATCAGTAAAGGATTTCCGTCTCCCCTGAGATTAGCGGATATAACTGATATATGAGTTTGTAGCGATATCATCCAGCAGACTTTTCATTAGTTTTTCATTAAATCAATTACTAACTTTAATTATCAATTAGTAATATTGCAATATTATTGAAATATTATAATATAATATAAAAAATTCCTGTTAGGAAGGAATTCTTAATATCAACACAGCCACCTAGGAACCTCTGATTTTGAAAATATTTTGTGTTAAAGTAGCTTTAGTTTCAGATGTATTGGTGGTCAAATTAGATGGATACCATGACAAGTTACTTTTTCGAGGATTGTTCTGACCATTTCACCAAACTTATAAAAATTCCTTTGATGCATATCAAGAGGGAGGGTCAGCGCTCTCCACTGTTGACTTGAAAGCAKTGTTTGCCCAGCCTATCTTACCAGAGATTGCCATAAGGGGTATGGTGGTGGTGCATCCTTCCCTGCTCTGCTCAAGGCCATGCTATGATCTGCCACTCATTAGCAACAGGAATTTAAAAATATGATTTTGGGGAAGCTCCCAACAATCATACTTTCATGCTCAGTTTTCTCTTCTCCATTTTTATTGACCTACTAACTATCYTTTATAACATAGATGCATATAATTTCTGCTGGTTATAAAATTCACTTTTTCAGGCTTAGATAAAGATTTCTTATCATAACATAAAGACTGTATGAATTTTACAACCAAATAGCCATCCAGGAGCCCTCTGTCTCTTTTATTTTCTAATCAACAGGCAAGATCTCTGTTGTTGTAGCAATATATACAGTCTTTTCCCATATTGATACMTGGGTTTGTTTTAAAAGCCTATTTAAATAAGTGAACCCTGAACTAAGTTACTTAGGTCTAAATTTTCTTTTTTGCAATCTTTAAAAAGCAAAACACCTAAACAACAAGGAAATGAGTCTCTCTTTCAAAGACTGGTGGATTTTCTTGCATGCTTGTCTCAGTGGGAGCTTCATTCCAAATCCTCTTCCCTACAAGCYACATCATGAAAAGAAAAATAACAAATCCTTGTGCTTAATAGTGCTTCTCTCAGCTGTCACAGAGTGAAGAAGGAGAGCATTCATGCTGAAACAACCAAAATATGTCTGTATTAAAGGAAAAGGAAGGTAACTSTGAATGTTTGTGGTTTAGTTTTGGGGGCTTTTTTCCTCTCAGCTCTTTAACCTCTGTTAGCCACAAATAATAGCCTTTAAAATGGCTCTCTGAAGGAATTCCACCTTTACTTTTGCAACATCTTCTTTTTATGAAACATCTATTTTATTTTGCATTAAAAATTTTTATAGTTCATGTCTCTGATTTACTGCCATATGCTCCCAAGGATTAAAGTTCAGACACGTTCCCAAGCAGGCTCTTTTAACCAAGGGGCATAAGGAAACATTCAAATAGGATTCATGATATGTCCATGATTTGTGATGCTCTGAGTATTGAAACATAGAACCTTATCAATATCTTTTTTGTAACTTGTCAGAGAAACCCTTGGGACAGATGGGTATTAATTAAAAGAAAGAYAAATAAACTCAAATAAGATCAGTTACCCAGGAGAAGAATATAATCAAAATGTGGAGAAAAAAATGTCTACAGTTTTCTGAAAAGATTAATGGTTGTATCAGCTATGTTCCAAAAATTTATCCTGTAGAACAATCACTGGAGGCTTTGAATTTTTTTTTCTCCCTAGTTAGGGACTTCATTTTAATATTTTGCCTGTCCTTCAAAGACCAAACAAAAATTGGAATAAGTCTTAATGACAAATATACAAGTAGATCCATTTTTTTTGTCTGCTGGTGATCAACTAAAGTCTTCTKCCATCTTCTACACCTAACAACAAAACATTTTATTTGTTATTATTTCAACACAGAAAATAAATATTAATTTATGGAAAGCAAAAATTACTGAAGGCTTCATGAACTGTAAACTGCATTTCAATAACATCTAAGCACCTTCARCTTTGAAAATGGCAGCCTAAGTTTGCTTTTCATATGCACACCTGACCTTATAGCTGAAAATTTACAGGCCTTCATGTAATGAAAACGACTCAAAGAGGTTTGACCTTAGCAGGACATATATTCCCTGGCTCTTGTGATTAACCCACACTCACCTGAGATTATACTTCATGAATTCTGCTCTTTGGCAACATTCATGTCATAAACCATTCAGAATAAAACAAATACACCTGCTTCTCCTGCAGAAAGGCAGGGAAGTCTACATTCAGATGCTTTTTTTTACAATAAAATAATGTAGCAGTCCGACTGCCAAATTCATCATTCCACAGCACTTACTCCTTTAGAGAGTGTAAATTTGTAATGCAATTAAAGAGCTTGACCTCAACCAGTTAGCCTCATTATTGCATTTGATAGTGTGTGTTTCGATCATGGAATTCACCAGTACTGTTACAGAGCTCTGGGCCACAGGGAAACCTCCTCAAAACCTGCGGRGATCTCAAGGCTGCACCAGCAACTTCCCTTTCCTGACCCAGGTGTTCTTCACCACTGCTCCAGCATGCTTCCAGCACAGCAGTGGGAGACAAAATACACTTCTCYGTGGAGGATCAGAGCAAATATGTGCGAGTGGTAACTGCTTCAGMCACTCAGACTTTCACACACCAGTTWTTGTGAATCAACATTCTCTCACAAGACAGAAAAATCATTGCTGTTTTMCTTCATTTTGGCTCAAAACTGAGTAAACACACTTAAAAAGTCTGTAACCACACATGAAATGCCTGAAAGAACTAGTATTAGAAATGCAGTTTCTTAAATTTAGTCTCAGAAGGAACGGATCTCATGAGCATAATTACTCCCTTTCAACCARGTCAGCTTAACTCGCCTCCCTGTCCATGTCATCTGCATGGCTTTTGGTCTGGAGCAGAATAAAGGGTTCACAAGGTCCACACATCTGAGAGACAGGTKAGGGACAATGCCACCTCTCCCTGGTGAATCCCAGCATGAATGCAGTGCCTCCTGCATGCCTGTTTGGGTTCTATCCAAATCCTCCCAGCACAAGGTCACAGAGATTAACTAAAACCACCTCAACTTCATTTTGTTTGCTCCATCTCCCTGCTATYGTGCAGTGATTGACTTTGTAAAGGTTCCTTATGCATTCTGATACTGAGTAACAAAAAGAAGAGCTAAGCAATCTGCTTGGCTTAATGGTGCTAGAAATACCCATACTGCTGGTATGAACCTGAGGAGTTGGCAGAAGCTGCTCTGAACCTCTCAGATATTCATTACTGACTCCATCATGTATCCTGATGCCACATGATCATGGTGTATCACTGGAATGAACCAGCATGCAGGAATTTGAAAGGCACAGTTACATCAGACTGTGGATACAAATTTTATGTGTTACRGATTTTCCATGTATGAGTTGGTACCAAGGGCTCAGTCATAACCATCAAGACACAGTCTTTGGGTAAACCAGAACTGCTCAAAACCAACAGAAAGAGATTACATTCAAGCCATGAGACTGAGTGTTGACCGTAGGTTGGTTTTTGATCTTTCAATGCTGAAACAGTTAAGCAGTAAGACAGGTTGTGAAGAGTTTCCAGAACAAGGTTGTCTCTGTGTGAAAAAATTGCTGGCATATGCTAGGCAATACATATTTCTTTGTGCAGTCATAGCTGAAGTGACAGATGAAGAAACCTTATCATTGTTTCAGATGGGATTTCTGAAGCAGGGCAAATTGCAAGGTCACAGGATAGATGTTCCTGCAATTGGTTTCAAAGCATTAAGACACAAAACAAGTATTTTTGATTCACAGTGAACAAAAAAAGTCCTTATGACAGTAATATTGTGCAGAGAGTTTGCAACTCATATATATTGCCTGGATCTAGCTAGATACATGTTTAGAAAAAGATGATTTCCAGATGAAGAACTTGAGCAACTGTTAAGATAAGAATGCTTTCAGATGMCATCAAGGCTACATATACAGAGAAYAGAACAGTCAGATGAAGATTAAAAGTATTGTTTTAATATACTGAGCTTGATATCTCAATGTCTGGCTGGCAACTTTCAGAAAGATATCAGAGATTTTATTCAGATAGCAGYAGCTTTGGACAGATATCTACGTAAATGATAAGCACAAACTAGTTAAATGAATTATGTCAGTAAAGACATAGCCTAGGAAGAAAGAAAGATAGGGTTGGGGAGGTGGAGGGTGAGATCTGACAAATATTATACTGGGAAGAACCAAAGGAAAATCAATTCTCCRGGAGACAGCCAAGGTCAATTGTTTCAAAAGCAACTGACAGCAGAGATAATGAAGCTGGAATTTAGGTTTTGACATTTTGTTCAGAAGCAGTACAGTTGATTGCTRTAAGGTAGGCTTCTTCACTTAATTCACAGTATAGACCTATGACTAGGATGTACAAAATTGTTTTACTTAACTGTGAAATGTGATAAAAGTAAAGCCTAATTCTCTCAGTCACAAAGTGTTCAGTCTATGATCTAGGAAATTTCCATGCACCAGTCTGAAAGGAGTAATGTAAACCTTCCTCTTAAGTTTCTGGACAACAGTAGAGAATAATCAAATGCATTTTACTCTTGGAATTATATGTATATATATGTATATCTCATGTATACATATATTTACATAAATGTATTTTAACTGTCTGCACAGGTTGCATTTTATGCTCAGAAAATTTGGACATATGCTTTGCATTTTGCAACTGCACCATATGCTATTTATTAGAGTGAAGAAAAGCCAGCTAGAACTGTTTTTCACTGGGCATCAAGGGCAAGGATAAAAATGGTCTGTTAGGAAAAAAACAGCTAAAATGTTTGATGCATTTGCAAGTTCCTTTAGACTGCACCATGAGCAATTTTTTAAGACTGTGGATGAGTTAGGAAAAAGGCAGTGAAGGAGCTGTGTAAATGACAGGCATCATGATAAATCACAGAAAATACCTTTGTAGCAAGAAAACCTTTCATTTGGTACAGATGCAACTTTTGTTTTCTGCAGTGTACAGCAATTAGGCTGATGATATTGACATACGATGTGCAAGGGGGAGAAGACCTGAGGGCTGAAGGAACAGACTGCTGGACAGAACTCACTTCTTATAACTTTAAAATCTAAATCACAGTTATCTGCACTTGAATGTTTATCCTCTGWTTGGAGACAACTGGGAGAAATAAGCAACTCCAGAATGGGGTCAACAGCCTTGATACATGTGCCTTAAAATGAGATGGTCATTTCTTTGACTATAAAGGAAGATGAGAGGGATTATTCTAGAGGTAGATTGCTAGGTTAGGACATATGAATCCTTCCTTTAATTTACTTTTTTCAATTTCAGGGTGAATGGCAAAACATGATGGCAAAACTCCTACAGATTTTGAGAGAGGCAAACACCATCACATTTCACTGGTACTGTATAAATAGTTGAAATTACTCTTATCACATTATTATTGTGTTTTATTTACTTGAATATGTGTTAGACACTGATTGTATTCATCAGTCATACGGTGATAAATTTCTTGCCGGTGAAATTTCTCTTTTAGGTATGGCAAGAATCCCACAGCTCTATCAGGAAAGGGTGCAGCTCCCTGTKCATTCAGCCAGTCTTGTGCTTCCCAGTATGAATCTGTTCACTTACTCATAGAATTAAGGAATCARAGAGTAGTTTGGATTGGGAGGGACCTTTAAAGGTCATCTGGACCAACTTCCAGATRGTGAACAGGGACATCTGCAACTAGGTCAGGTTGCTTAGAATCCCATCCAACTTGACCTTGAATATTTCCAGGGATGGGACATATACAGMCTCTCTGGGCAACATGTTTCAGTGTTCTCACCACACTGAAAAAGATTTTTTCCTATACAGAGTCTGAACTTACCCTGCTTTGGTTTGGAACCATTACCCCTTGCTCTATCTCAACAGACCCCACCAAAAAGTTTGTTGAAAGGCCACAAAGAGGTCTCCTCGGAGCCCTCTCTTCTGCAGGCTGAACAACCCTAACTTTCTCAGCCTTTCTTCTGAACTAAAGCTGAAAGCCAGTCCTCTGCATGGAAAAGACAGTGGTTGGCAATGAGGAGACTCTGCAGACTCACATCCTCCTGAATCAACACAAGTTGGCAAACWGGGACAAGTGAATGGACCCAGGAAGTGTTTTCCAATGCTTTTCTAACAGTGCTTTGTGCTTCTCATTGCAAACTCTTTCTGCTAACAGCAGATGCTTAAAGACCCTGGAAAATAAAACCCTACCACATCTCTTCTGCTTTCAATTGAACTGGAATGAATTGTTCTAATTCTGGCATTGAAATCAAAACACCCTAAATTACAGTAATTTGTTTCTCTTTGTGAGTCATTGTACAATCTGAGATTGCACATTACTCAGGCTTTCAGTCAGGGTCTAATCCCGTGGGCTTCTTCAGGCCAAAGTTCCCAGCTAAGGCGAGGTGGGGCTCTGCTGTGGAGAGCACACCCCAAAGCCTGGCTCAGGGCACGCTGCTGCTCTCAGCTCCACACACAGCCAGATCTCCAGTTCTGTGATGGGAGAGACACTGCCACCCACATGGGAAAATGTCTTTCACTACTGAGCCTCTGATGCTGATCTCTTAAACAGCTTCTTGCTGATGGGAACTCTGCCAGGCTGCAATCTGCTGCAGCGAGGAGGCAGCCTCAAGGGAGGGGACAACACCTGGARCATCCATCTCCTGGGAAATAGGGTTTAGTCTCTGCTCTCCCTCCTCTGGCTGCTCCAGATGTTCTTTCACTTTGCTGCAGTGGCTTTTAACCATTTCTCAATCCCACTTCTTCACACTCTGGTGGTGAAGAATGCAAGGAGAGGAGATAGGAAATGCATCCCATTTGTGTGAAGCACCTAATGCTTCCTGGGGCATTCTGTGGCCACTGGGGGTGATATATTTACGATTAAGAGGAGTGTATTCAGTTYATGTAGCAAGGTTTTGGTAGTGGCTGGGCTGCAAGGGTTATCTCTGTCAGAARAGATCAGGAGCTGAGTCAGTGTCAGACACAGAAAGTTCTGAGATACACCAGCCACTGCCCAAAGCTGAGCCTGTCTCTGGTGCTGACAGTACCTCTGTGAGAGCATTTTCAAAAAAAGGGTAAGAAAGGCTGTGCAGCAGCTGGGGGAGACAGGAGTGAGAATGTGTGACAGAAACAGCTCTGCAGAWTCCAAGGTTGGTGAAGAAGGAGGGGAAGAGGTGCCAGGTGCTAGAACAGAAATGCCCCTGCAGGCTGTGCTGAAGATGGTGATGCAGGCTGTTTCCCTGCAGCCCTTGGAAGATGACAGTGGAACAGAAATCCACCTGCAGCCATGGAGGAYCCACATTGGAACAGGTTGATATGCCCTGGAGGAAGCTGCAGCCTGYAGAGAGGACCACACAGGAGAAAGGTTTCTCACAGGAATTGTGGCCTATGGGGGAATCACTCTGGAGGGGAGGAGGCAGAAGAGCTGCGAATGAAGTTGAGCCCAAGAAGGATGAAGTGGGGGAGGCTTTTTTAAGATTATTTTTATTTCTCAGTGTCCTACTTTTACAATTAATTTGCAATAAATTACATTAATCTTCCCCAAGTTGAGCCTGTTTTGCCTGTAGCAGTAATTCTTGAGTGAACTCCTTGTCCTTATCTCAACCCAAGAGCTTTTCATCTTATTTTCTCCCCTTRCTGAGGAGGTGAAGTGAGAGTGGCTCAGTGAGCACCTGGCAATCAGCCAAAGTTGTGACCACAGGGAGGACTGAAGAAAATCCTATCACTACTCTTTTATGAGGAATATGTGATAGTAGCACCTCAAGAAAAAAATAATACCTGTAAGGTAATCGAGACATTCCAACAATTTCTTCTCCCTGGTAAAATCAAGTGCGAAAGTATCAAAAGTATCGTTGAGATTAATTTCAGGAATTAGAACCTGGGAGGATGCAGTTGCCATGGAAACCCTGTAATGAAAAGAAAAATGTCTTTTAGCACTCAAGACACAATAACTTTCCTATCAACATGGACCTGATCAATATGATTGTTATAGCTTCTCAAAAAACTTGACAAAATCTTCTACATGTATTTTATTTGTATGGCCCAGGTTAGGAACTTCTCCTGCCACTTTTATTTTTGAGAGCAAGATTCCAATATTTTTTTTTTTTTTTTTTACCGAGCTTAGGCCCAACATGCAGGATCAGATAAAATTTTAACAAGCAACAATATACCTTGAATTTTTTTTTTGATTACTCATTGAACCGAACAAGGAAGAGCACTATAATTAGCTGTGTTTTATACAATCCTGACAGATGCTGCATSTCTCCCAGCCCTCGTTTCCCAAGCAGTTTCTTGCTCCAGGCACACCTTGGCACTGCTGTCCCAAGGGTTTGGTGCAGTCCCCACAGCTCCTCAGCTGCTCAGCACAGCCCACTGCTGTCAACTTCAAAAGGCACAGCAGGGAGATCAAACAAATAGATGTCAGCCTGGTTTATTTTAGGCTTTTCCCTGCAAAGCACGTGTACATACTTATATTTCCTCCAAAATTGAAAAGTGTCCTTGCCTACCTCATTTCAGGAGTTACATCCACATTTTCCCTGTCCAGATTTATTAATACAAAGCAATGAWCTTTCATGAGAAAAATGTTATCAGGAAGAATTTTTCAGACCCTTTAGCCTGGTATCTCAAAATGCATATTTCTGGAGAGCTTGATAGTGAATTTATTTATAGAAAGTTCCATTGGTTTGAAGRGAGAGATTACTAAACCTTGTGCTATAGAACAGAAATTTGTATAGYATATGTTTCAGTTTGGAGATAAACAGACAAGCATGAATGCAATGTTTGTCTGTTATCTATCATTCATGATACCTCTGATCAAAATATTTTATTGCTTCAATATAAAATTTTCCCAAATTAGAGTATTCTTTTTCTGTAGACAGGACTGAAACAATTCCAGGACAAATGTTTACTAAGGGCTATTTTTTCATATATTTTTGCATAATATTTTAGGAAAATATAATCAGGAAAGTCAAAAACTGAGCTGTACATCTCACTGCCTTCAGCAGAGTTTTCAAAAGTTGAGCTGAGGAGGTTTCCTAGTCAATATTCTTGTTATACAGTTTTCAGCATTGTTTCTCTTGCAGCTCTAGATGTAGAACTCAGTTTAAAGTAGGTCCCAGGACAGCTCTATTTTTTTTTTTTTTATATCACCATGCTTCTTTGGACTGTTGTTTGGGGATATGCAAAGGGTGCTCTGTGTTTATATGTGTTATTGTGAGGTTAACAATCCAAAATTTCAGACACCCTGTCACCATATTAGGTTCAGAGGACTGAATTACATCCTGTAATTCTGCCTACTGTTGACACTGTAAATACAGATGCTGTACTTGATTGGAAAGAGTTTTTCTAAGATAAATGCATTTCACCCACTGTAAATAATGCACAACCTAAATCACTGGAGTGTATGTAATGACTTTGCTTGCACAGTTACCTGTTGTGCTGACAACAGAGATATTATGCTGCAATTACTTTGAAATGTGTGATGAAGAACTGCAATGAGTATGATTTCAGGAGACTGCTTTAACTGCTGGAGCTCAGAGCCCTGGTGAGATTGTTACATGAGCAGTCTAAAAGCAAACAAAACATTGCTCACCACATGAGAACTAAGAGAGTTACTTGTGAGGAATAATTGATTAATCCTATTTAGCCTCTTTTTCAGTTTGCAATTTGTCTGCAAGCACTTGGTGTTTTTTCACCCTYGGCTTTATTCACTGCTTGAAATGATTCTCTGATTTTCAGGATGTTCACAGGCATCTCATTAGAGACAGCAATCTAGCATAGCCAAGAATTAAGTTAGATTGAGCACATATGTCAGCTTGTCTCATTTCTGCTCTCCCAGTGTCTCTCCTGTGATTGTTATTTATGATGCAAATGTTTGTGCTCACAAGCTCATGCAAACAAGTTCAAACAAGAACTTACAAGTTCTCTGAATATTCCCTGGTAGTCAGTTAGAAAGCTCTGTGTCTCCACGGGTTTCTGCTCTAACTCTAGTTCTGCTAAATGCTGATAAAAAGGAYCTCATCCCTTTTTTCTTCCCATGAAGACCTTCACCTGCAGCTTTTGATACTCATGGTAGTTTTGCTGCTGGCCACAATGTTCTTGGTGACAGAATAAAAACCTGTGGTCTGACAGTCAACATGTAACCCCCTGCCTTGCCTGGCCTTCCTTTTTCAACTGGTTTTCAATTCTCTGAACCTGTAACAGGCAACCCAGTATTGCTGGATTATTTATAAATTGATAATTAGCTTTGATGAAGACTGATACAACACACCAGAGTTAAGTGATAGACTTAARCAAATACCTAAGAGGAACAGGGAATTTCATGCTTTAGATTTGGGGGAAATTGGCTGGAAGACATGAAGACATATAGTGAACTCAGAAATAAAAAGATAGCAGAATTAATTAGCATATTTTGATGTTTCTCTTCTTTGTTGTCTATATTCTCCTTTCTTAAATTTTTAAAAWTTTTTTGTAAAAAAWTTTCMGATTGGTTGCTAAACAGCTGGTATATTCCAGAAGGACATTTTTTCATCAGAAAATCCTGCTGAAACCCAACGTGAATGTTTCAGCATTCACAGCACTGCACTGAAAACCAGATCAGATTTTCTGATAGCATGGTCCTTGTCTTTGGGATCCYCAATATATCTGGCTACTGAAGAGAAGCCAGGATCCTAAAAGAAGATCCAGGGGATCCAAGAAATTCCCTGCACCTAGGGACCCAACACAGCAACTGCTGTAACTTCCAACCCCCCTGGACTGTTGAATTCTATCTCTTCAAGATGCAAGGTGCAGGTTCACAAAGTTACACATTTSATTATCCTGTGGCTTCCTATTTTGTGAAGAATGTGAATCCATTAAGATAATTCCCAGTTTCTTCTAAGGAATGTACTTACTGCCTGATTTCTTTCTCAATCTCAGAATTTTTCATGAARTAGGAATTTCAGCCATAAACCTGTTTTTTTTTATAGTGTGTTTAACATCAGACTTCTGCTTGGCAACTATTCTACCTCTTTCATTTGTGCAGGCTGTTACTGTTCTAACTCTTAATTTGCATCCTTTTCTGAGTGCTCCTATTTTCAAAGGGGTATTTTGATTTAGAATTACAGTAAGGTTCTTCCCACTCMAGCACAGCACGAAGTAGGGTTTTGGGGGAATATGTTTACTACCCCCATCTGTGGTATGACAAGACAATACAGCAACTCTGCCAACCCAGCTGCCTTAAAGTGAGGTTTTCCTTTCTAATGAGAGGAAGGTCTCCTTTACCTTTCAGTGATATTTTTAGCTGTTTGCAGGAAGCGAGCGTGATCATTCTCCTTCAGCGACTGCTCAGCCTGAGAGATGAGGGACGTCGAGCGCTCGATGCACTGTTTGCAGTTTGCAATCTGCTGAGCCAGTTTTCTCAACCTCACCACCTTGAGTGGAAACACAGGAAAGCAGTCATGTCTCTAAGGTCACAAATCATGACTGGGTTTGCACTTTAGAAGCAAAGCTGGCCAAAAGAGGAGTTAAGATGAATGGCTTTGGTGACAAGAGCTTCTTTCACACAAGCTTTGTGTGAACTCCACCTAGCCATTGTAGCATTTTTTAAAAAGGGACGGCACAGCCTTTCTGCCAGAATATTTTCCACATGGAAAACAACAGGGGAGAGCCAAAACAAGCACAGCTGGCCTATTTTCCAGCAGAAGGAACGTCATTTCCTGGYAATTTCTGCTTACATGATAACTAAGGGCTATTTAGATAAGCATTTCCCTGAAATGATGAGATCTGTGTTAAAGGCTACTTATAGATTAACTACTTTTTTCCTATKACTTAGGTGAGKTCCATAAAAAAAGAAATCTGAAAAKAAAACTTAACAGAAAAAGACTGCTCAATTCTATTAATACATGCCCGACCTTCTCATTATGTGCTTTTAGTAAAACAGGGTGTTTTCTGATTGGAAATTTTTAACTGGACAAAGGCACAGTAGTGCTGGGGAGCTGATTATTATTACTGCAAAYATATGTGCTGGAGATAAACACAGTAGATGTGACTGTAATCATTGGCTGAAATGTTAGGGAAGGGCACAGTCCTCTGCTTAAAGACAATGTTGGCTCACAAAACTTTCAGGAACTAAAATAGTTCCTGAAAGGTCTGGGAGTCCTTCCCTTTGTTATCACATCAGGATCATAGTTTGAACAGGAGTAAGAAATAGGAAGGAAATTAAATAATTCTGGAGTTTAGAAAGGCACATTARGACCCAGTTAGATGCAAAATGAGGAAACCAACAACCAAGTCGTTCGGTAGAAATATCCAAATTTATAATCAAGATAGCATTCCCAGTCTAAGGGATTAGGACACAAAATATGAAGTTGCTGAATGGAATTKCAGATGTATTATGATCCTAAGCAGTGATGATGGTATCTTTGTGCACCTATTTGATAACAGAAATAAATATTTTTGAAAAACTGTCCAAAAAGTGTATCGGCCAAATGATTAGTGTCATGCAACATTAATATCTCTTTGAAGATAGAAACAACAAAGAGGAGAAAATGCTGGCAATGCACAGATTTTTGTAATGTTAATGATCTGATCAGATTCCAGGATGAACTGATGCTGTAATATTTCCTGTAACTGTGCATTTGCAGAGATTACAATTTGGTCTACATCAGTCTAACCAGGGAAGGGTTCACTGCACTGTTAAATTAATCTCTTTATTTACTAATTCATTAACAAACAAACAGTGAACTGAAAAAAATGTTAACTTGGGATTTTTTTCAGTAAAAAGCATATCATGATTTGAGACATCCATGTATGAATTAGATTTTTTGCTTGATGTATTCCTTTTTAAATCTTCAAGAAGATGATGATGATAAATTGAAAGAGTCTCATCTCACTCACTCCCCACCCACTTCTGCAACGGTAGGAATGACATCTGCCCTAAGATTATCTTATCTAGTTGATATTTGCTTCTTTCCTGTTATGGTTCTGTGGGATTTTATAGGTTTGAGTGATAGGTGAGATTAAGGATGGGGCTGCACAGGGTTTTCAAACTTGTGTTACTGAATCTTCAGCCTTGCAGGCACAACCAGAATCTTGTACATGAGAGCTTCTAGCTCTGTAGCCACAGGTACAATCCTGTAGAGGAATTTGTCATGCTCTATCTCCCAGAAAAACTCTTAGCCATAGGCCCTCTTAAAGGAAGATACACTGGGGAAAACTTCCTGTGACTTTTCACATGGGTCTCTTGAGCCCCTGAAATCTTTCAACATGTATCACATTTGAGTCAAAGCATTCCACATCTCTACTGGACCTCCACTGATACAGCTTCTGGCTGAACAAAATAGAACAAAGAATGGGGACAGATCCTCGTAACAGCTCTATTCAAACAGATTTGGAGACAATTSCATWACAAATCTTCCATGCTAATGGAGATGAGAATACATTTTTGCAAGCAAAGATTTTTTTAAAAGCAATCATGTRTATTGTACAAATCCAAAGGAWTGGTAAGKTTTCTACTTCATTGGTAGCACATCTGGTTTCTATGCATAGAGAAACAGAGTTGAAGTAAAAAATGAAGAAAGCCATCTATTTCATTGGAAGGCAGTTCTATTTTGTTAACAGCATGAGGAAATTCAGGTTTTGTCACACAGGACCTGTGGTTTTAAACGTGTTTAAGTTAGCCCTTGCCTACAGGCTTTTCATTCCAAGTTAATTGGAATATCTTGACAGCCACATGAACCATTTAACCTGCTCTTGACTTCATTCCTTTCCTGAGCTTTTCCCACACAAGAAGAATGAATATCTGACTAAGTTAGTTTAGGAGTTAAACAGTAAACACCTTGTACCTAGAAAATAAAAACATTATTCAACTCTAATGCCTTTTTGAGTTAACAGTTAGCTACCAAAATATGTTGAAACTTGAGTATCAAAGACTTTTCCTGCTYAAAGTGTTTGCTACTAGTAATCATGGAACTTTGGGAATTAGAAATGCACACCTAATTTCTTGCATACTTTTGAATGACTTTGTTTTTGTAAACAAGACTTCCTATTCTTATGAATGACAGTGACTGGAACAAAAATTTTGTGTGATAGTACTTGAATAAACAATTACAGTACTTAGAAAAAAATAACATAGATAATTGTGAGACATGATTCTATATGCTATGACATTTTGTGAAAGTGAAAAGTTTGGCGGAAATACTGTCAGGCATGTGACAAARTGAAGGAAACATTAGTGGACATGATTTAATTGTCATTTACTGATCATGACAACATTTCTGGTTTTATCCTTAAAATCCATAATGACCTGTAGAAAGAGAAATGCCAAGTAAGCAGTTGAGGTCTGGCATACTAATCTTCCATTGTTTAATTCTTCTTTACATGAAACAGCAGTAGCCAAAAAACACATAAGGATTTTTACAAATTTCTACTAACAGTATCTGCAGTAAAAAAATCTGCAATCAAAAGAAAAGAGYGTTGACCTACTTGTGACCTAACAAATCAAAGCTTTTACCTTTCCCTCCTTGATTTTGGTTCCGATTATTTGTCGTCTCTGCTGGATTATTTCAATGAGTTGATCACATTCTTCCATCAGCTTGGTTTCTTGGCGGGATGCATTTACCTATGAAACAAAACGTTATGATTAGTAAAACCATTTTTTGACATTTTCCTTTTCCATTTTCTAATTTAAAAATCGCAGTTTCTAAAATGTTGGGTTTGGCTTCCCCCCCCTTTCTGCATATAATCGGTGTAATTTTCAGTTCCCTTCTTTTGGATTTTGTGAAGTACTGAATTGAGTGTCTGTATGCAGGAGGCAGGACGTGTAAATAGATGATCAGGTATTTCTGAGGTGCTCAGTGAACACTAGAGTGCTCACAGTCCATCTATGCAGTGTCCCCTCTCACTGCTGCCAGTTCCAGCCTCTGTTGGTGAAGAATGTGACGAGAAAAGAAGTCCCCACATGTATGAGGAGTCCTGTGAATGTTTCCTCATCCTCCCACCATTTGTAGCTCAGTCTTCTTGAACCAGACACCATTTTTACATCGTTACTAATAATCAGAAGAATTATATTACATGGATTTATTTAGTCTCTCCTTCAAACCCCAGAAACCTATCTGCATCATTCTGCAGAAATGAGCACTGCAGCTCAACTCACAGAGAAGTGAACAACTGCTCCTTTTAGAGGGATTTGAACCTATTTCCTTCCAGCTGCATTTAATGATTACACGTCCCTTTAGTGGAAAGGACAATGGACTATCGATACCACATATTGGTTCCTGGTTCAAATTCCCAAAGATCCAARTGACAATACCAAGTCATGTGTGTTGACTGTCTTAATTATTCCCGCTTTTCSTCAGCAATGAATCAGATAGAAAATAATGTGCTCATGTAGATTTCTAAGTATAAATATATGAGGAAATGAAAGGTTTTTTTAGTGCAAGAAACCTCACAAATAAAAGCTTTCTATAGAAAATGTTGACTTTTGTTAAAAAAAAAAGAAAACTATTAATAGAAATGTTGGGATTCTCTGATTAATATGTTTTGTTTCTGAAGGAGACTGCCTTTTTCAGTTAAAAGTCAACATTCTTTACAACCAGAAGAAAGTACTTCCCCTCCAGCAGTAGTATGTTTCACTTAAATATATGTGTAGAGTCAAAGAAAAAGGTAAAAAGTTCTTAYAACATATAGAATAATAATTAAAAAAGGTCTTATTTCAGAGCTATGTTTCCACTTGCATTTTGCTAAAAGATGGTAAGAAGGTAAAGCAGCTTTCAGGCCTGGCTAATTGCCCCTACAGCCATGTCCCTTTTTCCAGTAAGTCAGTGGTGAACAGTGAACGGTTTCAGCTGACAAATAAATATATTGCCCCACCTTGGTAGTTTTTTCAGTCTGATGAACCCCAYGATCTGCATCAGCATTCTTTTCTCTCCTTCCAACAATGTGCTTATACATGCATTTACCTGTAAGCRCATTTTGGAACTCATTAAGCTTAAGCAAATGCTTTTGTATCTAAATTTGGACCAGAACCAATTTTACAAATAACCTTATGTGAAATACAGTGTCCTCTGGGCAAAGAGGGAACTTGTTTATAAAAGCCTCCTTTCGTCAAGGTTTTGGATTACCATTCTGAAACCTTCATAAAATTAAAGTTTGTTTGCACATTTTAGAGGCCTAATTATTAATTATCAAGCTTATAAAGAGAGAATACGTTTGTTTCTGGAAGGGGTCAGATGTAACTGCAAGTGAAGATGTCGAAGGTATTCCAATCCCACTGTGCTGTTTTAGGTGCCCATCATTCACTGCTTGCCCTGCYGGGCTTCTCAGCAGACTCCATGAGGACAGACCATAAAGCAGCTCRCCCAAAGCCTCTACCAGTGCTTTCCAGTGCCACTGTCTCTCACTGATAGCTCAGGTAACCTAGGAAAGTTACTCAACCAGCACTGTCCCTCCTGTTCCCTCTGCTCCTGTCATCCCACCACCTTGGCTGCATCATGGACCTTACTCTGGCACGAAACTCCGCAGAGTTAAGTTCAACGAGCTGCAGCAGCTTCCCAGCCCTGATTTGAGCCTCACTGGTGGATGAAATGGCACCAAGGGGCAGGGGACCCTACCCAGGATCACCCCTGCATGTGGGCACAGCTCCTGTGTCAATAGCGAGGTTGGCTCATGCCACAGCCAACTTCAGCACTTAATTACAGTAACGCTTTTGGCACTWAATTACGGTAACACTTCACGGGATTTTTGAGTAGCTTCCACTCAAAGTGTTACTTCTAGCACCACTTACATCACCAATTTGCTTTGTCAGGCAGACCTAATTAATTTTGGGGATAACTGTCATGAAACAGAGAGTTACAGGAAGGTTAAGTCAACGTTGTTTCATTTAATGCTCTGGTTGATTTGAATAATAATGTATTAATTGGATCTTAACCTAAAAAGCTCTTGACTAAGAAAAACAAAATGCTTGGAAGAAATCTCTGGATTTCTTAACGCACTGACTGCAGACTTCTCTTTTTCTTTGAAATCTGAAAAGTATACTCTTTTACARACTCCATTTGAAGACATTTCCAACTTTATAGTTTGGACAAGCTATTAAAAATGAAAATAATATTCTAAAATTATACGATATGTCTGAGCTTTGTATGAAAAAAAAACCCCAACATTTAATCTGGGGGCTTTTCTCAAACTGAAATACTCCTGAATCACATTTTCAGCCCACCAAGTTTCTGATTCAATAATAACTATATAATTAGCACATGCCTAATGTGAAGTGCACTATATTAGCTGTGGCCCTAAAGAGACTGTTTGTGATATTACCACTGAATATGATTTACTTGTGTATTCCTGGGGAGTCACATGCCAGACCAAAGAGGTACAGGCATGGATCAGGGCTCCACTGTACAGGTGCTACAAAAATACCAGAATAAGGCTTTTCTTTCTGCATGAGTCCTTTGATAAACAACAACCTTGACAACCAACTTCCAGCTGGGGCTGGCCAAGAAATGTGAATTCTGTCTGATGAAAATATTTGAGGYTTTACATTCTGCATTTTTTCCACATTAAAAAACAAGACCTCTTTCCAAGGAGTTGCTAAAAGAGACTGACAGCTGCCTTATAAAAGTCTGGGGACTGTGTCACACACTTTGTGAGAGTCTCCAATACATGCAGAAAGTTGACTTCAGCCAGGGCTTCCTCCACCCAAGATGAAGGTTCATTCTTTAATCTGAGGTACCTCTTTTCTGAGAGTTTATGGTCRACTTGGGGACACCTTTCTATAGAAAACTTCACTAATATCAATATACTTAGTTTTGGCATAAACTGGTTCCTTAAACATCCATATCTAGAAATACTTAGAATCTAAAGCTTTATGTTTTATTCATGTAATTTTTATAAATTTATTTCCATGCCACAAAACAGTTTTAAAACTTACAAGGAGGTCTTATGAATTAGCAAGAAYTTTGATGTCTACAAAGAAGAAAAAAGGACATGTTCTAGTCCTCCTGCTTTTGTGGGGAATTTATTGCCATTCTGTAACATACACAGACCTCAAATAGTTTACTGAAAAAACCCAACAGCCTTACAAATKTCAGGTTGCTTTCCAGGCTTTCCAGACAGATGGATAGGACTGCTGCCCTTTGCCTCAGGAAGGAGGTGTGGTTAAAAAAAAAGAAAAATGGGGACTTTTCAGATGTCTGTCAGGGAGCTGAAAATGATGAGCCCTCCCAACCCAAAGGGGAGAACAGGCCAGCTGCTCCCAGCTCCACAAGCTGAGAACTGCTTTGGAAAGGGTTCTGCTCTCTGCAGAGGCTTCCTAGGCTTTCATCTTCAGAGACCTGAGTTAAATTGCAGCTTAGCTCRTAAGAAAATGAACGTGGTGGTTTCAAAGTCCCCAGCAGATGTTTGGGAAATCACCAAACATTGGTTAGAGACTGCAGGTTACAGTGGAGCTTTTATGGTTAATTCAAAGGCAACTGAATCAGAGGGCTGGATGCATACCCAAAGAAACTTCCTCAACTGATATAATGAAGCAAAGGAATTTTTTTTAGTGTCAGCAGAATTTTTCTTGCAAGAACAAAACTCCTTCTGAGATTCCTTATGTGTGAGGCAATTCTCTCTAAAAGTGGAAATCCACATGTGTCTTTTTGGGAAATAGTCTCTAAATTACAAGCAAAATAAGACACCCTAAATTACAGTGGGTCTGCTTTTTTAAGACTACACTGTCTGTGATAAATTCATCAAAACCACAGCAATTTTTATTTACTGTTGATTATGCAAAATGGAAGAAAATAGGTTACAGAAAAGTCTGGTCTTTGGAAATTGAGGTATGAATTTGAGTTTCAGATTCATGATTTAAAAATGGTCTCAATTCCCTAAAAAAATTCTTTGCAGCTGTGGCTGTACAGTTAAAGAAGAGGTATGAATTTTTTTTCATGTGTTTGAGTTGATGGTTATAGAATGACTACAGAATGTCTATATACCCAAAAGAAACTATTATTGTATAATCACAAGAAGATAAAAGTATCAGAAAAGTAAATCAAAAAAGTAAAAACTCAAAACCTGTTACATCATTGCCACATTCTTCACTCTAGATTTGAACTTGAATTTCTTCTTACACCAAACCCAGAAACTGAGATAAAAAATCTAAAATTTTTATATATAATGGCTGATACCTATTTGCCATGGAGATGTAGAACACCTTATCTTTGATCAGTGTCCCCAGATGAATTAAAGTATTATATGCCTCTAAAGAGAGAGGCCTGTTTATTTTACTCCATGTTGTAAAGTGAGTAATTTTTTCATAGACCCACAGTACACTGAAGTAAATTTTAAAGTCATCCAAGTTTAATTTATTTATTTGATAGAAATACAAAGAATAATCATTAATGCACATTTAGGAAAAAAAATTCTTCCCTTCTTTTTATGACCATGCKGAATAAGAATCATGAATTCAAACTTCATTTATTGTATATCCCTGTTTGATATTATGGGTTGTTCAACTTAGTCTTCTGCAGAGCAAAAGCAAATCTTGGAAAATACCTTTTTCCCTAGTCTAAGCGTAAATCTGATTTTATCTGTGATGACAAACTGTGCCTTTGGAAATATGTGATATWAATCAGCTTGCCA